GCTGAATTGCACAAAACGCATGATCGCACCGGCTAGTCTGGTGCGCGTTGCCATTTATTAAAATTATCGCCATACGCGCTAAGATTTCTCATACTGACCCCCAAAAAAGAATACGTGCCAGGAACGATTTCGGAAACCAGACAAAATAGAAAGCTGGAACCTTGAAAGAACATTCTCTGTGCACGTGCGAGCCAAACATTTCAAATTCAGCTATCACGCATCCTTGTACCGCCTAAACGGTCAAGTGAAATTTCGTATTTGGCACTTTGTTAACTCAAAAACTAGATGGAAAACAACAGTTAAAATTTTGTTAGAATACTTACCATTCATCATTGCTTACCTAAAACGAGTTTCGATTTGCGTCTGTGCCACGACATAGGGCACTTCAAAGACATTTGTGGCGAAATGGCTATTTTGCTTACCGGACAAGCTGAGTGGCTGTAACTTTGCAAGTATATTCAATATTCACTTGTGATCTAAATACAACTTGGAGGTGTAATTCCCTGCACGCAGACACGATAAATATCCGATTTTACACAAAAAAAAAGCGAATACATTTTGCAAATTCGATAATCCTCTCCCGATTTCCTTCAAATTTGCATTTTTTGAACAAGCGTTCACTAGAAAAACGATCAAGCTTCATGTAAAAAACTGATAATCATTTGCGCTGGAGGTCTGTGCGGCCCCATAATGCAACATCATCGCAATCAGCGCCCTTCCCCTCGCTTTTGGGATGAGGCCAAAACACAGCCAATATGAGTCCAAGTGTTAAGTTACAGCACGGGGACCATTCCTGCTGCTAACGATCTGTAAGTTCAGCGCAGAAACGCATGATCGTACCGGAAAGCCTGGTGGGTTGCAGCCTGGGTTTTATTTCTGCATGCATGAAACTTTGGAAGTTGTGAGAAATGGTTTTTAGCATATGTGTGATGATTGATTTTAGTATTTTTGAAATGCTGCCAGTTAATTTTATCGAGCAACATTGTCACTCACAGAGAATTAGCATAAATGGGTCACTCAACCTCAGAAAAGCGAGAAGCATGTCTTAGCGATGGGCTGCACACATTCTTGCACTTGTGATGACACCAGCAGTCTTATACATCAATCGTTCATTTTCCGCATATTTTCAAAGGGAAATTACTTGTTTTTCAGTTACTGAAAACATTCCGCAGTAAGGGATGCTCAATGGATAATTTGTCAGCAGTGTTGTTCTGTGCATCTCAGAATCGTGACAACCGTTTGTGCTGCCGTCAGTTTGGTTTAGCATCGCCTGAGCTCGGAGCTGGTCGACGATGTCTGCGAATGTGTGATCCGTATCGCTTCAATATCCGGATATTATATGGGATTGATCTTGTATGTCTGGGGAACTGGGATATTATCATGTACTGTCATCATGGCGGACTACGGTACTGAGCAGTAGCCGGAGACAGTGAAAACTTAAATTATATAGTACAAAAGTGCCTTTGGTAGTAACACTGACAAGCCCGGATTCTGTCAAGAGGTACTTTATCTAAAATCCAGCCTGCTTATTTGAACGGCGTTTTCCCCAAATTTTTGCCCACTATTCGATATTTTTATTGTCTTCTAGGCTGTTATTTTTTAGCGTTTCTAGTTTTATTTGAACACAACTAAGTCGGAATTTCAAAAGTTAAGTAACGGTTAAAATTGGGGTGCGGAGGGAGGGGGTGTGGTGAAGCACTGGAAATCAGCTTCTTTGACGTGTGATCTCAGCTTCAGTTTCATGTTACTGTTATAATTTCATAATAAGGAATGATGCAAATGATAAGTTTGGAATTTCTAAGCTGAATTTCAGTACAAATTATTAATTGGCTCTTCTGTAATTATCTTTGAGCGTCTTTAGCTCCAAAATCGAATAGACTGTGATGAGCTAAAAATTCACTGCAAATCAATACATCTCCATTTCCATGTACTGGCACATTCATTGTCGGTGCATTTACAACAGCATATCGTAAAAATACGCGACCGCAGTAGCTGTCTCGTACGTGCGATTACTAATTAGCGACTTTTGACCTAAAAATTGCTGCATCCTCTTTTACAGAATCTCGGCTTCTCTATTTATGTAAATGGCCAAGATATTAGTAAGTTTTCATGTATTTTTGCATGCACGCAAATGCGAAAACGCATATTGCGGCGACCCCGATTTGTGTGTATGTGTGTGTGTGTGTGTGTGTGTGTGTGTGTGTGCCCGCTCGAGTATTTCAACTCGGCACCCAAGCAAGCTTCGGCGCTAAAATTTCACTGCCAAGTGTCACCCCAGGACCGCGGTACCAATCCTTACGTGCGCCCAGGCCCCGCGCATGAGCGCGTGAAAGTTTTGGCGGGAAAATCGTTAACTCGGGAACCACAAAAGCTAGAAAGCTGAAATTTTGAGGTCATGTCCCCTGTCCATATAGAACTCAAAGACTTCAAATTCAACCCCGAGATGTGCGCGGTTCCCGCGTACAGCCCCGTGAGGGTTCCTGGCGAAAAAATCGCTAACGTGGGATCCAGGAAAGCCGAGAGGCTGAAATTTTAAGGAGCTGTTCCCAGCCCATGTGCAATTTCAAATTATCATATTCAGCCCCCGGGCATGCGTGGCTATCAAGCAAAGCACCGTGAAAATTTTTGGCGGGAAAATGGCTAACTCCAGAACCAGGGAAGCTGGGGGGCTGAAATTTTCAGAGAATGTTCCCAGCCCACGTAAAACTTAAATTTATCAAATCCAGCTCCCAGTCATGCGTGGTTCTCACGTGCGGTCTTCTGAAAGTTTTTGGCGGGAAAGTGGGTGACTCAAGAACTGGGAAAGCTGGGAGCCTGAGATTTTAAGGGAATGTTCCCTGTCCAAGTACAGCGTAGACAACTAAATTCCCGAAATTCGAGGATCAGTATGTCACACGTTTTTAGCTACCAGGTTTTTAACTGATCTCATTACAGCACGAAACAACGCAAAAACGCATGATCGCACGGGTTCGCCCGGTGCGCGTCGCCAATGATTTTTTATTTCATAGGACAAAAGATGCGCAAGAGCGGAAAATTTGTGGATCTTCAAATTTTTGCATAGTAAAGTGAAATGCTACACCGCAGCCGTACACCGTAAATTTTGGAGCAAATTTCACAGCATCACTAATGTTCTCAAAGTGCTGAACCGGAAAAACCGTGCCCATCTTCAATACTACTTTGCTGAAGGGAGTGACGTGTGAATGCGAAACGTGATCAGTTACGAAAGTTGAAGAGCGAGCGCTGACTGTAATGGAGCGGAGGACTGTATCCCTGCATGACCATGTAAACAGTCAGATTCTCTGTCATATGAGCGACATACAAGGATATCATGAGGACCATGGGAGAAAGCAAAACCCGATCACTGGCGAAGCGGGCCGGGCCAGCCCGTGCGATTATGCGTTTTTGCAGTATTTCTTGCTGCAATGAGATCGCTCGGAAACCCACTAGCTAGAATGTCTGAAATACTGGTGCTCAAACTCGGGGAATCAATTCTTACGCGGTACTTTGACAGGGATCATTCCCTGAAAATTTCAGCCTTCCAGCTTTCCTAGTTCCCGAGTTAGCCATTCTCCCGCCAAAAATTTTCACAGGGCCGTGCATGAGAACCACGAACAGAGAGGGCTGAATTTAGTAACTTTCAGTTGTGAATGTGCTGGGGCCATTCCCAAAAAATTCCAGCCTCCCAGCTTTCCTGGTTCCCAAATTAGCCATTTTCTGCCAGAAATTCCCACGGGGCCGTACGCGAGAGCAACGCATGCCTGAGAGCTGAATTTGATAAATTTCAGTTGTACATGAAATTTCTAGCTTTCACGGATGCTAGGTTAGCGACTTTCCTGCCAGAAAATTTCACGAGGCTGTAAGTGAGAACCACGCATGCCTGCGGGCTGAATTTGAAACTTTGAATTCTATGTGTGCGGGGAACATAACTGCGAAGTTACAGCTTTCTAGCTTTTTCGGTTCCCGAGTTAGCAATTTTCCTGCTGGAACTTTGAGGCGCTCGTACGCAGGACCTAGACGTGCGTGAAGGTCGGTGCCGCGGCCCTTGGTTGGGGAACCCGCCGGAAAAATTTTGGTGCCGGGGCTTGCTTAAGTGCCGAGTTGAAATACTCGGAGACAGACGCACACACATACACACACACACACACCGGGATCGACACAAAATGCGTTTTTGCTTGTTGCAAATTGCAACAAAGGCTGGAACGCACCAGGCGAGCCGGTGCGATCATGCGTTTTTGCATCAAA